GCAGGCTTACACCGCACAAGGTTGTGCGGAATCTTATTCATTGATAACGTTTTAGGCGGAGTACGCGAGTTGATCGATGTTGTTAGAGCAGGAGGACCCCGGAATGAAGGGGACTTCTGAGGATCTTTCCTTTCGGTAGCATCGGGATATGTTTGAACTTCGATAGCGAGTCGTAAAAATCTTCTGATGACTAACTCATCAATGATGAGTCATCATCTAGCGCCGATGCCACGGAAAAATCTCCAAACACAAACGTAAGTTGTCATGTCAAACCCATCAACTTAAACACAAATTTGAATATCTTGATCCCTCTGCTGAGTCCGATAGCTTCGCTATCGGTTGTTCACCAGTGGTGATTGGCTTGATCAAGGAGATGCTACACACTGGTTTGTATCGCTCGAGCATGGAACAAAGACTGTTGCCTGTATAGCCTTATCGTTCATTCTTCCAACAATCCTCATGGTAAGCCTGCTAGCTATCCTCGCTTTGGGTGCTGTCTGGTGCACAGGAGCCTTTTCATCAGGCTCCTATTACAAGAAGCTCGCGGATAGCTTTCGCATTCAAATAGATGCTTTGGGTGATTTTTTCATTTGGGAATATGCCTTCTGTCCCCATTTGCCGGTTGGTGTCTACGTGGGTGTTACAGGGAGCAACCCTTATACCGTCGCACCAAGCAGTCAGAAAGATTATGACGAGTTCTTCAGGTTCTTGATTAGCCAGTGTGGGAATGCGCTGAAAGGTAAGGGTATGCACAAGTTCACCTACGACAAAGCTAATGATACTATACCGTGAATACCGAGCCGGACCAACCCTCTACGAAAAGTTCGGGTTTCGACGGGTTACATCGATCCCGGACCGATGCGACCCAACGTTCCGGACAACTACCCGTAAATCTCACTCAGTGCAATAACTGTTCACATTTGAGAAGTACCTCGAGCAGTCTTCGCACATTGTGCGAGTTGTCAACTCGTGGAGTGTGAATAGGCTATTCAGAATAGCGCATATCGAGATGTGGTGCAAGTGCGTGTAGTGTGGATAGTGCATTTCGAGACGTGATGGAAACGAGCTTTCATTGGTCGAAATTGGTCTTGTGTTTGACGAATTTCAACTTGTGTTTCCGAATTCATAACTTTCATTTTCGAATTTTAACTTTCATTTTTGAGTGGTCTGCGAAAATCGAACTTTCATTTCGAATTTGAACTTTCATTCGGTGAAAAACTCCTTTCATCCGACTAAAATCAAATTTCATTTTTCTAATTTGTTCTTTCATTTGCTGAATTTGAGATTGAAAAGGTGTAGAACACTTCCTGACTCCTATCGTCTGCTGCTCCTCTCACCCGACCTCCACTAGCAGTATTAAAGTCCTCTACCTTTTCTGTCTCAGCTTTCTGCTTACAGACCATCCTCAGCGTACTGAGAACCCCTTCCTTTGAACAAGCCTTGTAGTGCCTATATCCTTGAGATGAGCAATAGTACCTGCAGGTACTGTAAGATAGGGCATCCTGAATGGCAGCACTACCAAAAATGCACCTTTCGGGCCATGTGTGGGCACTCTTTTGGCCGACCCTTCTATGGGGGTCGTAAGGGGTGACCGTTCTTTCATTCTTTTTTTTAGAAAGAACGGCGATTTTTCCTGAAGGAAGGAATGCCTATTTCTCCCCGGAAAAAAATAGAAAAAATCGAAAAAAAGGACATTTGGGAGGAAATTGGGGGAAAAAATCAAGAAGAAAGGCGAAAAATGAAGAGGGAGATGTGATTAATCACTAATCAATGATTAGAGGCATAGATAGATATGTGCCGTAGTTCTGACAGAAATATAACTGAAACACTCGAGAGATTTAGACGCTCGTAACGACGGAATCGATGGATCTCGTCTTTGGATCTTAGGCGCGCAGGAGTGTCCATCAAAAAGTTCGCAAGGTCATGCTTCGAAGGAAATATATCTCATGATGAAATCCACATCTCCCGACGAACTGAAGAACTCAACAGCGTCCTTGCCGGCTAGTTTTCTCCCGTGAGTGAGACGAATTACCGATCGATTCGTTCATCATGGGTCTTAAATGTCTTTCTTATAATGAAATTCGAGTCGCGCATATCAGACTCGAATGAAATTTTTCAAGACCCAAGAAGGTCTACCGTTGATCTGGACGGTGTTTCAGTCGATTCTGCATATCGGAAGGCTCTGATCGCCTTTGATTGCCGACGGCAATTTGCCGTGATGAATGGATGATATACATTATCCATCGGATGGCATAGCTGCCCCAGAGCAAGAACAGCCTTCATAGGGTGGTTTCTCGCATTTCAGCCAGTTTGGAATTGCATCGCGTGGAGACGAGACACTGTTGCGAACGGATGAACATAACGATAAATAT